GACGGACAGAGGACCCGCCGCGGCCGGTCTCTCCCGCTGCCGGAGTCCTGCGTCTCGGGGGGGCGGGGGGGGGGCCTCACCACGTTTACAAAATGGAGAAGCTATAAAATAATCGGATTGGAAGAAAACTCGTTTTCTTCTGAAATGGAGTAAAGCAAACACATACCCAAGGATCTTAAAAAGTTGTGTGTGTGTGTGTGTTTTTTTTTTTACAGAATATATGTATGTATCTGTGTGTGTGTGCGCGTGTGCGTGTAGTTATAAACACTATTTATAGTTAGAGCTATGGTGTTGACTTCATCGCAGTGTCTATAAAGTTGTGGGTCCCCGTCTTGGTGCCAAAAGCATATAAAAAGCTCAAAAGCTACTAGGATGATACCATGCAAATTTAGATCCGGAAAACCTTGGGAAGCCAACTGTCGCCCCGGGTCAGGGGGGTCTCTGCCTTGGATATTTGGGTTCCTCGCCTAACGCGTCAAAGGTGTTGTGAGTCGCTGCTCTACCAGCGAGGATGAAGGTCACCGTTCCCGACAGCTGTGCCCGTCGTGCGGAAAGTGACCGATGACTGGGTTTCTGTCCACGTCCCTTTGCGTTTCGGGGGGCCGCCCTCTGCAGGGGGTGGGGTCCCTCCTTGAATGCCCGGGTACGGAAAAAGCCACCTGCAGCATCGGAAGGGACCAAGGTCTTTGTGTCTGTGACGTGTTAACAACGATAAGGCCACGTAACTAGGTTTCTCCCCGATCTGTCCACCTTCGAAGCTCCCCCAGTGTCGCCCGCGGGGGGAAAAAGAAAAACTGTCAGAGAGCAGCCGAAGGCCCGGAGGTCACTGGCGAGTCTCTAGAGAAAGACGCCCCCGCCCCCGGGGAGCGGGACCTGGGAGGAGATGCTGAGGGGAGGGAGGGACGAAGGAAGGGAAAGGGCTTCGTGAAGGCCCGTCCTTGCCTCTAGCGTGAGACTGCGGACTGCAGTGGGTTCTGAGCTGTTAGCAACGCCGGCAAGAGGTTGGTCGGGCCGCCTTTAAGATCTAGTGATGGGCCCGGCCGGCGGGGCTCCGCGGTCGAGCACTGAGCTGTGAACCAGGAGGTCAGGGCACAGGTCCGGGTTGTGGGCTCCATCCCCAGTGTGGGGGGTGCAGGAGGCAGCTGATCACTGATTCTCTCTCCTCACTGATGTTTCTCTACCCGCCCGCCCCGCTTCCTCTCTGAGGTCAATAAAAATGCATGTAAAAAAAAAATAAAATAAAACCTAGTGATGATCGGCTCAAGACGAGAGCCCACACCCTAAGCATGCTGGGAAAGGCGGTCCCTCGGTGTGAGCGGAGAACAGTGGTACCAGCCCGGCCGGCGTGGCTCCGTGGTTGAGCGTCGACCTATGAACCAGGAGGTCACGGTTCGATTCCCGGCCAGGGCACAGGTCTGGGTTGTGGGCTTGATCCCCAGTGTGGGGGGTGCGGGAGGCGGCCGATCAGTGATTCTCTCTCATCATTGATGTTTCTCTCCCTCTCTCTCTCTCTCCCTCTCCCTTCCTCTCTGAAGTCAACAGAAATTAAGAGAGGTCACTGGCGAGTCTCTAGAGAAAAACCCCACCAGGGAACAGGACCTGGAGGAGATGCTGAGGGGAGGGAGGAGTGAGGGAAGGGAAAGGGTTCCATACAAACCCGTCCCGGCTTCTAGGGTGAGACTCTGTGGCCTGCTGTTTACCCACGGGGGGGAGGGGGGCTCTGAGCCGCTAGAGACGCCCACAGATAAAGGCTGGTTACGATGGGGGGCTGGCTGACCCTGGTCCCGGGGCAGAATGGAGAGGGCGAGGCGTGAGTGGCATTTGGGGAGAAAAGTCTGAATTTGGCGGTTCTGTCCTGACTAGTTTGCCTATTTTCCCCCTTTCTGTCTTTCTTCTCCAAATGCGCTCACCGCACTGTGACATCTGTTTGCATAACGGCCGTCCTTCCAGCCCACGGATGCCTGTTATAGAAAGATTGTTTACAAAAAATATATCATCTCTGTTTTCTTTAGAAAGATCTCGTCTAAGTAGGAAGTTAAGGTCGCGTCTATGAAACCGGTGCACCTGGTCACGTGTCTACGCACTTTTAAAAAGTCCCAGATACGCATGAGGCTGTGGATCGGATGGAGGTGTGCGTGTGCGTGTGTGCGTGTGTGTGCGTGTGTGTGTGACCAGGGGGCTCTCCTTTGCTGGGCTCGGTGGGCACGCGTGTGAGGACGGGCGGGGCCCCGCCGCGCCCCAGCCGGGCCAGCCGG